TCATTTCTACATCCATACAATAATTAGTTAGAAGACAATAACTTAAACCTATATATATATATATATATATATATATATATATATATATATATATATACTTCTATAAAAAGTTTGTGTTTATGTTGTATGTAACTGTTTTCCAACTTATATATTGTCACACCCCAGCTGCCGGCGGAAACGTCGAGGTACGCGACGTAAATCTGTGATCACAGTTATTGAACATACATTGAATAGTACAAACATAATCTTCTATTATTTCTGAAACAAAAATTACATTGAGAATGACTATTGCTAAATCGCTTCACACACCTAACAGATCGGCGTTTACATGGTATATTATAATAATGGAAAGTCTTCTATGCAAATCCTTCCAACCTGTTAATAAACCTGAGAATACATGTATTAAAATACGTTAACAAAATTGTTGGTGATTTCTACAGGTTTTAACATAAAGTATTTTTATATCTAAAAATCTTTTATAAATTTAGCTGGTTGACCGGTTTTTATAAATACTTACTTTTCTATCAAAAGTATAAAATAAATGATTTATAAAAGTGTATTTGGTCTCATTTAGAAACATCATGCGTTCAAATCAAAAATTTGGCAAAATACATATAAGTAAGTCAAACTTATATCAAAATTATATGGTTCTCATGACCAAAATGCATTTTATATAAGGATTTTTAGTGCCAATTTATATAAAATTATGTCATATCACATCTTGTGAAAATATAAAATGACCAACTTGACTCTAGAAATCTTGTACAAGCGTTGGTGTAGTTTATATGTAAAACTCATAGGTTTCGAATTTATAAACTTTGTAAAATCGTGTTCTAGTATTATTTAAGTATTATCTTACTTAATTTGGGAACCGACACTTAACCAGTAGGGAAAACTCCTCTCACATACATATTGTGTTTTCGTACAAGAACAAAAGGTTTATATAAATATCTTATTAGTTGTAAGTTATTAAACTATAATAAGTCGTATAATGATATTAATTAAGTGTTATATGACTTAATTTATGGTTTTTACACTTATTGTTTTGGGTCACAAACTATTCCACTACCTACAATATCTTTCAACTAGTATAAGTGAACAAAAACCTCATATAAACCCTATATCGATTCTATACGACAAGGAAAAAACTGGGATTTTATAATGAATTCATAACCGAACTCATGAAAATACACTTTTTTCACCGGCTCAATAGTAGGGCATGCTTTAGTAATTCACCCTGTTATACCACGTGGTAATGTTCAATGGTACTAACGTCAACACCAAAATTCGTTTCGTCAGACGTAGTTGTAGTTAGCAACTCCATGCAGGCGGTCTAACCGTATAAGATCAATAGTATGACACTTATACTTCTCGTTATTCATTATCTATGGATTAACGGTTATGAAAATAAAGGGATTTCCACCAAGACGCACAGTCTTAGTATACCCAACAACATAGCCCAAATGGCTTAGGAAACGAACCTAACTCATATGGATTTAGAAACAATGTGACACCTACAGGGAGACCCTGGAGTGTTGGATCCTAACAATATGTTTGTGCATCCTAGTCCTAAACTTTCTGTTATAAGATTGTTGAATACATATAATTTTGTTGTTTAGGAATAATATTTTTTCATAGTCTTTTAGTATTTGAGATTCCTAAGACGTAATGAATTTCTAAATTTATATTGTCTGTTATAACGGAATTTGGGCAGCATAACGGTTTCTTTTATAACATTTTTCAGGTTTCAACCAACGTGAAACCAACCATTTCCATGATACTTATAATTCACATTATTAATACTATATAATATTTCGCAAATAACGATTCTTAAGTCGTGAAGTCGATCATGTTATTTATTGCAATAAAAAAAAAATCCATAACTTAATAAATTGAGTTATATTTTTATAATATAAATATATATTAATAAATTTTCGATTCGTTTTTACATAACCTTATATGTTAAAAGTTAAGTTTGATAATTTTAACTAATAATTCTAAAATTTGATAAGCTCGGTCTTTCCACAATTTATGACGATGTACTTTCATGTTATACGCGAGTAATGTGTTTGGTCATTTTCATTTTTGTGACATATAATATCAATTGTGTTATTATAGCAATTTACTTATAATCTTGTGATTTTTGTTAATAATTATGTTCATATATCACGTAAAGTATACATATATCATATTTTAACAATCTACTTTAACTTAATAGATTTATTGGTGATTTATCACATTTTTAGATTGCTATTTCATAAACTTTTGACCAATAATAAAGTATGATGCTATTTTGAATATAAAATTTGAAAATCATCAAAAACTTTAATAGAGACGCATATATTCTCCCCCAAATATTAAAACCGTAAAATAGGGG